CTGGACCAGTGGATGTGGAGGGTAATAGCTTGGTTCTGGAGTCAGGTGGCTCTAGTTGCAGCCTGGGCCCTGCCATCCTCATGTCATATCACTGTGCGTCCAATCACAGCCTCTTCAGGCCTCAGATGGACCACTCTGCCCCAGAGGATGTAATGAACGTTCACTCATTCAACAAATAATGTTGAGCACAGCCACGTGTTGAGCCCAGCAATCACCCTCACGGAGCTGACACTCAGGGAATTCAATGAGACAATGAATGCCAGCACCCGGAGAGTGGGAGCTCAGGGGCGCTGTGGTGACACCCTTCCCCTGCCCATCTCTGATCCTTAGTTCTGAACAGGGGACCATGGGGACAAGGCCCTTGCCATCTGGGGATGGTCAATCACTCAAACTGCAGCACCGCTGGACTGGGTAGAGAATCCATGGCTCAGGGAAGGATGCTTCTGGGCCATCCGTGGTGCACGGCTTCCTGCAGCGAGCAGATCTCAGGGCACGTAAATAAGGCCGGCGCCACCAATTCAGCCCACACCAACACAGAAACAGAGCCACTACCGGCCACAGTGTACCTACCAGTGCCACAGACCAGGTTCTGTGTGAGGGATGAGCGGGGAACAGCTTCGCAAGGCAGTCGAGCATACAGGCTCAGAACCATAACCCCGACTTGTCAACGAGCTAGCTGTGTGAGCACGTCACCAGGACAGACCAATTGCTAGAAATTGACATCACGCTTGGCAAAGGAGAATGTCGCTGAAAACGAGGGGAGCTGTCCACGACATGGACTGACACAATAGTGGAAACCGTGGCTCAGACACGCCAACCATCAGGAAGGTGTCTCAGGACAGGGCATCTGTGTGTAAGATTTGCTGAACGCATATTGTCATGAGTCAGACCCGACTCCAGGGTAACCAGCAACAACAATATGGTAGTGATGACATCACCACCTCATAGGCTGTTGTGAGGATTGAGTGTGTACATGTTGTTGTTGTTGTTAAAAAAAAAAAAAAAAAAAAAAAACCTCACTGCCGTGGAGTCAGATCCAACTCATAGTGACCCCTCCTTGGGTTTCCGAGGCGGTATCACTGCGGAAGTCAATTGCCCAACCTTCCTTCTGAGGAGTGGCTGGTGGGTTTGAACCGCCAGCCTTCTGGTTAGCAGTCAAGTGCCTTAGGCACTAGGCCACCAGAGGTGCTGTCAAATAAACCCTGCTTCATAGCGACCCTCCCTTCAACAGAACGAAAGGCTGCTCTCCCGTGCGTCCTCTGGACGTCCCTGGAGAGCACTGAAGGAACGCCTGGCTGGGGACTGCTAGGCAGCAGCAGCAGCGTGCCCTGGTGTTCTGAGATAGTGTGGGGCTGTCCCCTCTGCAACAAACCCCATGGGGTTTACAAGGCTGTAAATCTTTACAGAAGCAGACTGCCTCATCTTTCTCCTACAGAGAGTTGGTGGGTTTGAACCACCGACTTTTTGATTAGCACCCCAATGTTTTAACCACAATGCCACCAGAGCTCCTAAGGTTAGCGAGAACTTGAGCTAAACTCAGCAGGATGTATTTTGGAGACTGTGTGGGGCTTCCTGAGAGGTAAGAAACATTAAAGCTTTCTCAACCCATTTTTCTACCCTTCAGGAACCGTCAGCTGGGTCTTTCTCCTCCCCACCTCCTCCTTGTCCAGTGGTCCTCCTAGCCCTGATGCTATGGGCCCCCAGTGATGGCCCCACTCCTGCTCCGGAGGCGGCAATGACTCAGTGCTCGAGGATGCTGCTCTCTGCCTGGCCTTCCTGCTTTGCTCCCGAGTCTCCCTCACAACTTCCCAGGCTCTCTCATGACCTCTCAGCTGGAGAAACAAAGGCTCTAAAAGAAGCCCCTGGGATGTGGACCGGAAAGCCTGGACTCTCTGATGGCCACCCCAGGAGGTTCTGAGAATGTTGCTGCAGTTGAACTGGGAGGCAGCTGGGCTGCTTCCAAGATGTTCTTCCTAAGAAAATGCGTGCTGGCAGTGAATCAAAGCTCTCTCCTGGATCTCACACAAAGAGGCCACTGAAAAGTCTTCACATGGCAGGTGGGAGTGGCATCCAGAAGGTCACACTTGCCACTGGTCAGAGCCCCAAAGTGCCCGTGAACTGAGCACATTCACAGGTGATTAAGGAAAAGCCAGTGTGAGCATGGCAGAAGGGTGCAGGTGAAGCAGGTGCCCACACACGGGGCAAAACCACTGCCCGTGCTGCCGCCCAAGGGCTCCGGAGAGTCCAGGACAAAGGTGCCTCGGCTCCACTCCGACTGTTGAAGAGTGGGAACCATAGATACCAAACAGTATCTGAACATGAAGGCAAGGGTGTGTGTGAAGACCTAACGTAGAACTCAGTACTTAGATTTTTCCCCCTCGGCCCCACCCCCGGGCAGCATTCACTCTGAGAGTTCAAGGTGCTCCATCAGCCATGAAGAGAAATGAAGTCCTGGTGCATGCTGCACCATGGGCGAACCCTGAAATCACCATGCCGAGGGAAGTCAGTCAGGCACTAAAGGGCAAATGCTCTATGATCCCACTTAGATGAAATACCTGGACTAGCCAAGAGTGTAGAGCTCAGTCTGCTGCAAAAGACCTCTTTAAAGTGTCGAAAAGCAAAGACGTTACTTTGATGACTAACGGGCGCCTAACCCAAGCCATGGACTGCCAGAAGAATGAACAAATCTGTCCAAGAAGTGCAGCTGGAATGCTCCTTGGAAGTGAGAATGGCCAGACTTTGTCTCACCTACTTTGGTCGTGTGGTCAGAGGCACCATTCCCTGGAGAAGGATGTCATGCTTAGTAAAGTGGAGGGTCAGCGAAAGAGGGGCCTCAACGAGATGGAGTGACACAGTGGCTGCAGCGATGGGCTCATCAGGTACAGCAAGGATTGTGGGGCTGGCAGTGTTCTAGTGCCCATAGGGTCACTATGAGTCAGAGCCAACTGGACGGCACCTAACAACACCACCAACCCAAGCTTTGGTATTTTCAATAGCCTCATACGCGTGTGAAATCTGGACAATGAATAAGGAAGACCACAGAAGAGTTGATGCCTTTGAATTGTGGTGTTGGGGAAGGATCTGAAAATACTGTGGACTGCCAGAAGAACAAACAGATCTGCCCTGGAAGAAGTGCAGCCAGATGTACGAGATCCTGCATAGAGAGGGAAAACAATGTGGAACAAAACTCAAAATCAGTTGGAGGCAAAAAAAAAAAAAGAAGGTGGGGACCAGGTTTGCTGGTCCAATAGAGCCTGGTGGAACCACTGAGACTATGGCCCCTAGCTGCCCTTCAGGTCTGGAATTGAACCCACACCTGTGGTTTCCAGCCAAACAAAGTACAGGCAAGTGAGTTAAACATCTACCTCAAGTAGACACACACCCTGAAGAGAACAATCATGGGAGAAGGAAGGGCTGCTTATGCACAGGGAGACAGCTCAGGGCGCAGAAGAGTATGGAGGGATGGACACTGAGAAGAGGTAACTATGGAGAGGAAGTGGGAGGGGAGCTGTTGCATTGTAAATTTTGGTCAATGACATGAGACAAAGTATATGTGAACTGCTGTATGAAAAGTGAATTTACTCTGTAAATCTTCACCCAAATCAAAATAAAATTTAAAAAAAAAAAAAAGAAGAAGAAGAAGTGCAGCCAGAATGCTCCTTGGAAGTGAGAATGACCAGACTTGTCTCACCTACTTTGGTCACGTTGTCAGAAGGGGCCAGTCCCTGGAGAAGGATGATGCTTGATAAAGTGGAGGGTCAGCAAAAAGGGGAAGACCCTGAACAAGATGGATTGATACTGTGGCTGCAATGATGGGTTCAAGCATAACAACAATTATGAGCATGGTGCAAGACTAGGCAGTGTTTCCTTCTGCTGTACATAAGGTCACTATCAGTCAGACCGGGAGCTCTGGTAGCATAGTGGCTAAGACACTTACCTGCTAACCAGACGGCTGGCGGTTCAAACCCACCAGCCACTCCTCGGAAGGAAGGTTGGGCAATCCTACTTCCGTAGTGATACTGCCTCGGAAACCCAAGGAGGGGTCGCTATGAGTCGGGCCGACTCGACGGCACATAACAACAACAACAACAATCAGTCAGACCAGACTCGAAGGCACCTAACCACACAGAGGTCAAAGTTTATTAGTGGTTATGAGCCCTGGTGGGCAGGAGGGAGGGGGAAAGGCAGACAATGCCTAGGGGGTACTGAGCTTCTGTTAAGGGTGATGGTTGAATATAATGAACATAGTCAATGTCACTGCATATGAAGATTGTTGAAATGGCAAATGTTTTGTTACCTATATATTTATTACAATTTAAGAAGAAAAAGAGTACTCCGACAGATCGTTCTAGATGCACTGAAACTCAAAAACCGAACCCACTGCCGTCCAGTCGGATTGGACCCATACTGACTCTTCCTTGGGTTTCCGAGGTTGTATTTCTACAGAAATAGATTGCCCAACTTTCCTTCCAAGGAGTGGCCAGTGGGTTGGAACTGCCAGCCTTCTGGTTAGCAGTGAAATGCCTTAGGCACTACACTACCAAAGCTATACGCACTAAGGTAGTGCGAAATCACCCGTGTTACAAACGAGAAAACGGAGGCCCAAAGAGGGTAAATTCCCTCCCCCTATTGCAGTTTTCATCCAGCCTTGTCTACGAGTTCCCCAGACCTTTTTATTCCAAATCTATTCTCTCCCGAAAATGAGTTTCCTTCCTTCGTTTCTCTGTCAGCTCTCCTCTGGGTAGGTTAGGGCGTGATTGTGTCCGAAATAAAGGAAATAAAGGAAACCGCTCAAGTTCGGTCATCACAAATGCACCAAAGTGCATTACGCATGCGTCTCTCCTCCCGCTCCTGCCTTCACCAATATGGCCGCCGTGGCAACAGTCCCTCCTGCCCGACACTGACGTAGTGACTCCTGACGTCATAGGAGGGCGCCGGTAGTCCAAGAGACTGCGGAGGCTCCACGTGGGCTCCAATTTGGAAATTTAACTGTTTGGGCCATGGATACCCCGGTAAGGCGCAGCCGGCGGCTAGAAGGCCTAAAGCCTGAATCCCCCGAGGAGGCCTCCTCAGTTTTGCGGGCGCGACGGGCCATTGTGGAGTTCGAGTCGAACCCAGAGGAAACGAAGGAGCCCGGGTCCCCTCGGAGTCCTCCCAGACAACCGGGCCTGAGATCCCCCCGACGTCAGGCGGAAACTAGCCCAAGATCAGCCAGTCCCCGGCAGGATGTAGGACTGGGGTCTCCCCGAAGGCAGCCAGAGCCGGGTCCAGGGTCCCCTCAGCGTCAGCTACATCCAGGCCTGGAGTCACCCCGAAGACAGCCGGAATCGAGCCCTAAATCCCCCGTGCTTCAGCCAAAGCCAAGTGAGGAGTCACCAAGGTTCTTCCAGCACCAGGGAGAACAGGACCCGGAGTTAGCCGAGAGTAAGGAGAAGCCGGGGCCAGGGTCCCCCGTACGTCAGCCAGCGCCTGGGGCGAACACACCAAAGTCCTCCCGGAGCCAGGGTGGACCTGACTCGGACTTGGCCCAGAGTAAAGAGGAGCTGGCCCCGGGGTCTCCCAGACATCACCAGCAGCCGGGCCCAGGATCACCAGAGCCGTCCCCAGGCCAGCAAGCGACAGGTCCGGAGCCCTCGCGTCCGCTACGGGAGCTGCCACCTCAGTCACCCGGCTCCCCCCGGGGTCAACCCGAGCCCTGCAAGCCAGCAACCCCGGCCGAGGAGACGAGGCCAGGCGGCGTAGGGGCAGAGAAGCGAAGAGGTTCTGCAGCCCAGGCCCCAGCGTCCAAAAGGTTGAAGAAGGAGGAGGAGCAAGTTCCGATGATCCCGAAGGGGAAGCCCAAGTCCGGGCGGGTTTGGAAGGATCGCTCCAAGAAGAGGTGAAGTGGGCGCAGGGTGGGCAGGGCTGATGTCTTCTGTGGTTTGGGACGACTCCTTTCCCCGGTGCAGCCTGGGCTTTAGAGGGAGGAGATGGTTGGAGAGCGCTCCCATTAGTAGGGGTATCATACAAACAGGAAACAGGTCGCATAATCAGAATACTGGATTGTAAAATGCCCTGAGGTCTCGGGACAGTGAGACTGTGCCTTGGAGTTAACTCTGCCATGCAGTTCCCCTCAGGGGCCCTCTGGCCTCTACTGTAGCACCTCATATGTGTATTCATTCAGTAGACATTCCCTCTGCTGAGGGAGACAGAAGCAGGTGCACCAGCCGTCCCTTTATAAAGCAGTGAGGTCTTCCCCCTGCTGTTGTTTGTTACAGCTATTTGACTTGACCATCAGAATTACTAGGGGAGCCTGATTATAAAGGACCCTGTTGTTGTCGGTTGCATGGAGTCGGCCCCCAACTCATGGCAACCCCTTGTCCGACAGGGCAAGTACTGTCCCCATGGTGGGTCACCTGTTTGGTCATAGCAACAGATCAGAGCTTCCACTGACAGGTGGTGGCCACTCATGAGATAAATTGGCCTGGCTGGACTCGAACCCAGACCTTCCTGCCTGGGGTTGAGAATTCTACCTCTGTACTAAGTTAGCACTTTAGTAGAGACTGGCCAGGTAAAGGCGTTTTAAGCAAAGAGAACAGCATGCATTTAACCTGCACATCCACCCTATGAAGCAGGTATTATCATCCGCATTTTACCTACGAGGAAATAAGACTCAGAGGCTAACTGAATGGTAGAGGCAGGACCCGAGCACACATCAGATTCCAAAGCCAGGGTGGGAAACCCCTTTTCTGTTCCCTGTAGACCCACCTTGAATTGTATTGCAGCCTCCTTAAGGACTGGTGGTCCTTGTCTTTCTGGGCCAAGGGCATAGTAGGTGCTCAGTAAATGCATGTTGAATGAAGGCATGAAGAGGCTCATCTGAAGAGGGAAGAGTTTAGGCTGCTAGGAAGGAGCTGGTTTCCTTCTTATGGGAACCACCAGAGGGTCAGGAATGCACGGCTGTGTGGGACTCAGTGGGAAGGGAGAGGGTTTTGAAGGAAGAGGCATTATGACATGCCCTGAGGGCCAGCTGTGCCCAGCTTTGTGCTGGGCCCTTTACAGACATCATTTGGGTGAACCCCCACAACTCTGTTGTTAGTGCCATCAAGTTGGTTCCAGCTCGTAGCAACCCTATAGGACAGAGTTGAACTGCCCCATGGGGTTTCTAAGCTGTCATCTTTATGGAAGCAGATAGCCGGGTCTTTCTACCATGAAGCTTCTGGGTGAGTTTGAACCACCAGCCTTTTGGTTAGCAGCCAAATGTTTAACCGTTGTGCCATCAGGGCTCCTAACCCAATCTTTAACCCAAAACCAAACCCACTGCTGTTGAGTTGATTCCAACTCATAGCGACCCAGTGTTGTTGTGGGGTGCCATCACGTCACTTGTACCCTGTGTACAACAGAATGAAACACTGCCCTACAGGATGGAGTAAAATTGCCTCATAGAGTTGCCAAGGCTATAATCTTTACAGAAGCAGATTGCCACAACTTTCTCCTGTAGAGTGGCTGGTGGGTTGGAACCACTGACCTTTCAGTTATCAGCTGAGCACTTTAACCACTGCATCATCAGAGCTTCTGTAATGATCGCATCAGCCATCCCTTACCGAGTGCCGGCCCTCCAGGCCCCATGCAGAGTACCTTCTTACAGTGCCACCTCTAGTTTCCACAACAATCCAGGGAACAGCTACCAGCCCCATGTTAAACCATGCCTTTGTGTCAATTCCAACTCATAGCGACTCCACGTCACAGAGTAGAACTGTCCCATAGATTTTTCTAGGTTGTAATCTTTAGGGAAAGGCTGGAGGTTCAAACCCACCAGCCACTCCTTAGAAGGAAGGTTGGGCAATCTACTTCCATAGTAATACCACCTTGGAAACCCAAGGAGGGGTCACTGTGAGTCGGATCTGACTCGACAGCAGTGAGTTTGGTTTTTTTGTGTAAATCTTTAGGGAAAGCATCTGCATTTGTGCCTGTACTGAAGAAAGGTGATCCCACAGAGTGCGGAAATTATCAATCAATATCATTAATATCACATGCAAGTAAAACTTTACTGAAGATAATTCAGTATATTGACAGGGAACTTCCAGAAACGCAAGCTGGATTCAGAAGAGGACATGGAACCAGGGATATCATTGCTGATGTCAGATGGATCTTGGCTGAAAACAAAGAATACCAGACAGATGTTTACGTGACTATGCAAAGGCATTGGACTATGTGGATGTGGTGCAGTGAATTACTTGGTATGGCTTTTCTAGCCATGGTCTTTGTAAATGCAAATAAGGTATGTGGAACTCTGATGTTGGGATTGGTTAGTTTTGTCACTCTGCCAGGCTTAAAATGAGCCTCCTAGAGGCAGAGAGGGGCTCTCATTGCCATCAAGAGAGAAGAGCTGGAAGTGAAGTGAGGCACATCCTTGGACCCGAGATCCCTGTGCTGAACCTCCTTGGCAGAGACATCCCAGCAGAGATTTCACCGCTTCCTCCCCACTCCAGGCAGAGAGACAGCAGCAGTGGAACCAAGAAGCATGAGTCAGAGCAGCAGGCTTACCTGGCCCACAGAGCGAGAAAGCTGAGTGCCCTTGGGCAGGCTTGCCGACAGAGTAGGGTGCACCTAGGTGTACCTGTTGGCAGAGCTAAAAGAGCTTTGTAACATTTGTCCAAGCAGGGCAGAGGCAGGCCAAGGGCCAGAGAGGTGTGCCTGGGGCACAGCAGAGGGGAGACTGTCCTGATCAAAGCATTGTATCCTGAGTGCGTTCCTGAACCTGAATTGTAGCCTGTTACGTCCCTAATAACCCCATAATCATGAGTACTGTCTGTGAGTTCTGTGTGGCCATTGCAACAAATTATTGAACCCACCAGAGTAGTGAGTGCTGTGGGAGGATCAGTTGGTGTCAAAGTTGGTAAAAACGCTAGAGCGTGGTGGCATGTCTATTCTCATAAGAATAACCTTGGGCTGCTGATGGTGATTCAGTGTCCTCCTCATGCGATTGGAGGAGGTCAGAAGATGCCATCTCCAAGCCTTTTTTGCAGTAGATCACAACAAATTATGGATAATGGTGAAGAATGGGAATTCCAGAACACTTTATTGTGCTCATGAGGAACCTGTACATAGACCAAGAGGCCATCATTTGAACAGAACAAGTGGATACTGCATGGTTTAAAATCAGGAAGGGTGTGTGTCAGGATTGTACCCTTTCACTATATTTATTCAGTTTGAATGCTGAGCAAATAATACAAGAAGGTGGACTACATGAAGATTGTAGGAAGACTCACTAACAACCTGCAATATGCAGATGATACAGCCTTGCTTGCTGAAAGCAAAGAGGACTTGAAGCAGTTACTGATGAAGATGAGAGACTACAGTCTTCAGTATGGATTACACCTCAGTGTGAGGAAAACAAAAATCCTCACAACTGGACCAATAAGCAACATCATAATAAATGAGGAAAAGATTAAAGTCAAGGATTTCATTTTACTTGGATCCATAATCAATGCCCATGGAAACAGAAGTCAGGAAATCAAATGATGTATTACATTGGGCAAATCTGTAAAAGACTTCTATATATTTTTTTTTAACAACCTCTTTAAAGTATTACAAAACAAAGATGTCACTTTGAGGATTAAGGTACACCTTAATGGTATTTTCAATCACTTTATATGCATGAGAAAGTTGGACAATGATAAGGAAGATCAAAGAAGAATTGATGCCTTTGAATTAGAGTGTTGGCAGAGCATGTTGAAATACCATGGACTGCCAGAAGAACAAACCTGTCTTGGAAGAAGTACAGCCACAATACTCCTTAGAAGCAAGGATGGGGAGACTGCCTTATGTACTGAGAACATGTTATCAGGAGGGACCAGTCTCTGGAAGAGAACATCATGCTTGGTAAAGCAGAATCAGAGAAAAGGAGGAGACCCTCAATGAGATAGATTGACACAGTGGTCGCAGCAGTGGGCTCTAACACAGCCACAATTGTGAGGATGGCACAGGTCGTGTTGTGTTTTGTTGTACACAGGGTCACTGTGAATTAGAACCAACTCGGTGCCACCTAACAACAGCAATCTTTAGGCAAGCTGGTCACCATGTCTTTCTCCCATGGAACCACTGGGTGGGTTCGAACCACCAACCTTTGTGTTCACAGCTGAGCACTTAACCATTGTACCACCAGGGCTCTTTTTCACAAGCCTAAGCAGGAGATATTATTTACCCCCATTAAAGAAAGGAGAAACTGAGACTTGGAATGATTTGCTTCAAGTCACCAAGTAGAGAGAGAGATTTTGGAGTGACTAGAGAAAGGATAAGGAGCTCGGGTGGCACAGTGGGTAAGGCTTTTGACTGCTAACTGGAAGGTTGGTGGTTCAAACCCACCAGCTGCTCTGCAGGAGAAAGATGACACGCTCTAGTTCTGTAAAGATTTACAGCCTTGGAAACCCAGTGTGGGGGTCACTATGGGTTGGAATCGACTTGATGGCAGTCGGGTTGTTTTTTTTGCTTAATTGGAGAAGTAGAGAGTGGCACTGCCCCTCCACCCTTGTCGCAGCCCCAGAGCAGGTCACAGGGAGAATGATGAGGCCGCCAGTGGCTGTGCAGAACCAGATAGAAGGTTGGCACAGGCACTCAGGTGAGGAGAGGGGGATGAGCGAGGTAAGCATGGGAGCCTGGGTTCCCGGCGCTTAGGCTACAGTGGGGCTGGGGAGCGCTCCACTAACTGAGTGAGAGGGGCTGGGCCCATAGAGAGTTGAAGAGAAGAGATGCGTCAGCAGAGGAAACCCCGGAGCAGCAGCCCGAGCTGAGAGGAGGACTTGGGTCAGTGGACCGAGAAGGGGGGGAAGGAGGCTGTTGTGTCTGTGCTCCCCGTCCCAGATGAAGACACACCCTGACTTCCTGCTGCTCACTCACCGCATGCCTTGGGGACTCCTTAGGCCCACGAGGCCCTGCAAGCCCACCCTCCTCTCCCCTTCTGTCACTGGAGTCTCCATGCTGACCTCCCCCTGCCCCTCCACCTCGGGGCCCTCACACATGCTGTTCCCTCTGTTGGGAAGACTTGGCCTGGCCAGTCTGCTCATCTTTCAGGGCTCAGCTTAAATGTCAGCCCTCAGAAAAGCCCTCTTTATCCAGTCCAACCAGAGTTAAATGCCACGCTAATACAGTTAAGAGCTCGGCTGCCAGCCGAGAGGTCGGAGGTTTGAGTTCACCCAGAGGCACCCTGGAAGAATGTCCTGGTAGGAAGCCAACAACGCAGTCAGCCAGCAGCAACTCTGCGAGCACAGTTCTTCTCTGACACGTGGGACCCGTGAATCGGAAATGACTTGACGGCAGTTGGTTTTTTTATGTTGTCACAGTGTCCTGGGCTTGAATTATGGGATTCTTGTTGACAGCCCATCTCCCCTCTGGACCAGCCGCCCCATGGGAGTGGGAACATAGCCATCGTGGCTTGATTGCCCAGAGCCCAGCACATGGCAGGCACTTGGTTGAAGGAGATGAATGAGGAAAAGACGGTGGTTCATTCAGCCAATTTGTACTAATTGTGAGAAACAGATTTTAAAAAATGTATATATATAATGTGTCAGGCAGTGATAAGGGCTCTAAATAAAGCAAATGGGAACCAGAGAATGGCAGGGAGAGCTAGGGTGTTGCCCCAGTGATGAGAGATGACCTGGCTGATAAACAGACATTTGCACAGAGGCCTGATGAAGTGAGGGGAAGTGAGAGAGGGAACCAAGACTTCTGGGGAAGGCGTATCCAGGCAGGGGAACTGAAAGTTGGGAGGCCCTGCGGCAGGCGCGTGCTGGTATGCTTGGGACACAGACCAGAGGCCTCGGAGCTGGGGTGGAAGTGAAGGAGGAGCAGTGAGGGGTGAGCCTGAGAGTCCACAGGGGCTGGACCACACAGTCTTGTGGTCCTGCGGGGACGCTGCTCAGGAGGGCATTGAGCAAAGGAGTAACATGATCTGACTTTAAAAAGGATTAATCTGGCCTGAAACTAGACCATCAGAGGGCAGCATACAATTAAAACGCCTTCCAAAGCTGCTGCCAGGAGGTCTTGTGGATAACGACCCAGGAGGCACTGAACGGGGCTTGGGATCTTGAGGTGAAGCCAGCGATGGATGCTGAGGTTTGAGGGACCGTGGAGGCAGCACCTGCTCTAGGAAGTGTCACGGCCAAGAGGGAAGAAGAGGGTAGCCATGGCTAGGGAGGGCCCAAGGTGGGAAGACCGGGCTGCAGCGAAGGTGCCAAACGCCACCTTCTCTCAGTGGCTGCTCCTTGGGGGTATCCCTCCCTTCTCTGAGGAGCAGTGTTTATTGGACACTTGTTGGCTGCTGCTATCAGGCTGGGCCCCGTGCACGGTGGGATTGGGCCATTGTAACCCATGGGGTTTTCATTGCCCGGTTTCCAGAATTAGATCACCAGGCCTTTCCTCCTAGTTTGTCTGAAAGCGCTGCTGACCTGTTCAGCATCACAGCAACACACAGCCTCCAGTGACAGGTAATTGGCCAGGAATCAAAGCCAGGCCTCCCACCCGCAAGGCGAGACCACCCGACCACCCTGCCCTCGTGGGGTGCCTGCTGTGTGCGAGTCCCTGTCTCAGTCCTCACAACGCCTTTTCTCATGGGAAGGGTTCTCATCCCCATTGAACACTGCAAGGTTCTGAGACTCAGGCTGCCTTGCCCAAGGTCGTACAGGTGGTGAGTTGTGGATTCAGGACTTGGAACCCAGGCGTGCCTTCCTTCAAGTTGCTGAGTAAAACCAATGCTCTCAAACTGGTTAGCCACCAGCCACATGTGCCTATATAAGTTAAAATGGATTAAAATTAAATAAAATGTGGAATTCAGTTCCTCGGTCACACCAACCACATTTCAAGTGTTTGGTGACCACAGGAAGCCACCGTATTGGACAGCACAGATGGAGAATGTTTACATCATCACAGAGAGGTCCACTGGGTCCACTGGGCAGCACTGCTGTAGAAGGATGGGGCTTTTCCTCCGGTGGCTCTGTCTCCAGGTCCCCACCACCTTTTCCTTCTGGCCTCTCGAACCCCTGCTTAAGAATACGGCTTTAAGGCAGGGAGGACGTCCATGCTGCATTCTCACTCGTCTGTGATGGGGAGGCTGGGTATTTGCTTATCAGGCCCTCGTGGATGGGGAGGGTGCCGAGTGAGGAGCATGCTGGGTCAGAAGGCAGGCAGAGCAGTGGGGAGGGTCAGAACCAGGCTGAGGACAGGCCTGGGGTCAAGGGTTGGGGCTCTGGATCCACAGGCGACAAGCCCAGAACAGTGTCGGCCCCTCATGGGTGGCATGGGCGTTGCCCTGCCTGCACCAAGGTTTCCGGAGGCGGGGAGAGACCAGCAGACTTGGCAGGGCAGTTGGGGTGCCACAGAAGGGATGGATGAGCAGGAGCTCCTTAGGAAGTCGAGAAACTGGTTGGAGGAGTGGGTGGGCCACTGGGCAGGGCTTAAACAGAAGGCTTATGGGACACCCCAACAGGCTCATCCAGGGGAGAAGAGAAACAACAGAGACTAGTAGGTGGAGGCCAGCACTTTTTATTTTTATCATGGAAAATTTCAAACATACAGAAAAGGCAAAAGAATAATGTATTGAACCCCCATATTCCTACTGGAGTCTCTGGGTGGCACAGACAGTTAAGCGCTCAGCTACGAACTGAAAGGTTGGCCGTTCAAACCCACCCAGAGGTCTGGGAAGTGAGGCCTGGTAATGTGCTTCCAAAAGGTCACGGCCACGGACCCCATGGAGCAGTTCTCCGCATGCACGGGGTTGGCGTGAGTCACAAGCAGCTCAACAGCCACTCACAGCCACAGTCACTTCCCTGTGTCTTTTTTCGTGGAATATTTGAACTCTTCTTTTTTTTTTTTTTTTTTATTAGGATTTGGGTGAAGATTTACAGAGTAAATTCACTTTTCATACAGCAGTTCACATATACTTTGTCTCATGTCATTGACCAAAATTTACAATGCAGCAGCTCCCCTCCCACTTCCTCCCCATAGTTACCTCCTCCCAGTGTCCATCCCTTCATACTCTTCTGCACCCTGAGCTATCTCCCTGTGCATAAGCAGCCCTTCCTTCTCCCATGATTGTTCTCTCCAGGGCGTGTGTCTACTTGAGGTAAATGTTTAACTCACATGTCTGTACTTTGTTTGGCTGGAAACCACAGTTGTGGGTTCAATTCCAGACCTGAAGGGCAGCTAGGGGCCATAGTCTCAGTGGTTACACCAGGCTCCATTGGACCAGCAAACCTGGTCCCCACCTTCTTTTTTTTTTTTTTGCCTCCAAATGATTTTGAGTTTTGTACCACATTGTTCTCCCTCTTTATGCAGGATCTCCTACATCCCTTCCAAGTGGATGGCAGTGGTAGCTGGGCACCATCTAGTTCTTCTGGTCTCATAGTTGTATAGGTTGCAGATCAGATGGTGTACCAGTCACTAGGACTGATTGTTTCCATTAATTTTGGTTTTCTTCTTTCTTCTTGACGAGGAGAGACCTGTTGTTGCATCTAGATGGCAGCTTCCTAGCTTTTAAGGTCCCAGTCGCTACTCGCCAAAGTAGTAGGTGGAACAATGTTTTGTATAGTATGTTATGCCAATTGAGTTTGATGTCCCCTGCGATTATGGTCCCAAGCCCGCAGGATCAACTACTCAGTCCCTCTGGGTAGCTGGCTGTGACCAAGTAATGACCATAACCTTGCCCCTTGTCAGCTCTACTATACACCTGGGAATTCTGATCATTCACATGAACTTATAGGCCCATTGTCTGCCAACCCTGTATATGATCTTGGATACACTCTCCATTTAGACATACCTAATTGTTTAGCTTAATATTTGAACTCTTCTTGTAGGTGATGTCATTATACCCACAGGGGGCTTGGCAGCAGGCCCTTGCAATGTACACCTTATGGAAATAATCTCACTTCTTCCGTGAAAACATGCTGTTGTCACTGAAGGAAATCGAGACCCCTTGATACCCCTCATCTCTGTCCTCACGTCTCCCCGACGGGGGACTGACTTGGTCCTGGCAGACTCCTAAGCGTCCCTGCTGTTTTGAAATGGAGCAGGTGTCCCTCTGGGGAGTGAGCACCCTGTCTTCAGAGGCAATCACGCACAGGGCAGTCTGCACTCACAGACGCAGCAGAGCTTATGAGAGAGGCTGTGTGTCAGGCAGGTTCAAGTCCTAATTGCCGCCAGGGAACAAGGTAACCTTGGGCAGGGTAGTTAACCTTGGTTTGCGCCTCTGTGAGTGACGAGGACGGGTACCTCAGGCACACAGACGGAGCTGAGAAGCAGTAGCCAGCAGGGTCGGGCCCATCCTGTCCAGCGTCCACAGCCCTGCAGTGTCGGCTGACTGCCAGGTAAGCGGGCAGGTCAGGGCAGTGGTCCTGACTGGGCTCTGGAGAAGATGATCTGGGCCAGAGCTGAGAGGGACGGGGGCATCCCACGGACCCCACAAACAGCCCCCTCTCACCCTCCAGGTTCTCCCAGATGGTTCAGGACAAGCCCCTGCGAACATCCTGGCAGAGGAAGATGAAGGAGCGGCAAGAGAAGAAGCTGACCAAGGACTTTGCCCGGCACCTGGAGGAGGAGAAGGAGAGGCGCCGGCAGGTGAGGGCCAGGGCCGGAACGCCGGGAGCCACGCCGGGGTCTGCTGTCACAGGCCTCGGAGGGAGGGGAGACTCGTGTCCAGGAGGAGGCTGGCTCGGCCACGACATTCTGGGGCCTGAGGCCCTACGAGGTGCCTGGCCAAAAGCAGAAGTGCCGTGTGAGAGCACATGGTAGGGATGCCCAGCAGGGCGGTCGGCTTCACCTGGGCTCTCCAGGGGCCCAGGGCGGCGGCCTGGGGGTGGGGACGGGCAGCGTCACCGCGAGGCACTCACACTGTCCTGCGCTGGCAGAGCGGGGGTGCCCAGGAAGAAGCCCCAGCAGTCCTCACTGGTTACCACGTTCAGTGAGATGGGGATCGGGGACCTGCTCGGGCAGGAAGGTGCACAGATTGGAAAGCCGTGTCCCCAGTATCACGGCTGTCACCTTCCAAGAAGACAGATGTCAGTGAAGTGATGGCCCCTCACCTTCCACCAACTCTTCCTGACTCCAGTCCCAGCGCCAGAAATGCCCCTTAGAGGTTCACACCTGATGTTTTCAGTCTCTGCACAGTCCCTGAAAGGGTTGCAGTTTCACCCATGTGAGCCAGGGGCTGGTGGGAGGAAGAAGGTGCCCAGCAGGCAGCCTGCAGAGGGCGTGAGGTGGCGGCGGTGGTGGTGGTGGTTTGGTGGTGGTCAGCATCTCTGCTCCCCAGCCCCTACCTCCAGGACCAGGATGGTAAGTGGCTGGGACCTCAGCTAGTGATGCCAGGGCCATAGGAGGAGCACTGGACCGGGAGCCACACACCTCACCCCGGCCTGGCCACTGTCACTCGGTCATGTCACCCTGCTTGGCCTGTGGTGGAGGCTCTCCTGGACACGGTGGCCATCACCTTGTCCTGAGACCTTATCTCACTTCCTGTGTGGCCAGGCACGCCCTTGAGCAACGTGGCGCTTTCTCTCATCCCCTCAGAGGTGCCCTGCCCAGCCCCAGGGCTCACTTCTCCTCTCTCTCACTTCCACCCTGCTGCCTTGAGTTACCAAAGCCAAAGAGGCCCCCTAACCATGTGCCAGCCACAAACCTGACGTCCCTACCCCAGCCCTGCCAGGCTACAGTAGCTCAACAGCCAGAAAGCACCAGGCTTCCTGCTCCAACACAGACTCCTAAGTGTACCTGGTGGCCAGGACTGTTCAAAGCCCTATACAAGTATTATCTCGCTCATTCCTCAGACCAGTCTTAGGAAATAAGTACAGTGATCGTCTTTGTTTTAAAGAAGAACTGGAGGTTCAGAGAGGGTAAATAATTTGACCGAGCCACCCATTTAGGAAGTAGCAGAGCCAGGATTTGAACTCAAGCCAGTTAGCTCCTCCACAGCCTCAGCCCCTTCCCAGCCCCTCACCCTGGGAAGATCTCCTGCAGCCCTGGCCATGCATTCCAAGGGTGCATGGACTTCAGGGAGAGAGAGGAGACTCCAGATAGTGCTGGAAGAGGGGCCATGGTCTGGGTGCACGTAGGTTTCCAGGTGGCAAGCCCCCCATTTATAGGCGCTCAGTCCTGTTCTCAGCTGCCTATGTCTCCCCCTTGAATCCCTTTGGGGTCAGGAACCTTTCACCAGGGTTAGCTCTGGCACTGGCCCTCCCTAGAGTCCCAGGGCCTCTCCCCTTCTCGGGCCTCCACCCACACCCAAGGAAGGCCTTTCACATCCTTTCCCGGGAATTCCACCAGCTCTCCTCCGGGGCCCGAGAAACGGAGGCTCCCAGACTCAGACTCAGCCCTCCCTCCCCATGTGTCCTGCTCAGGAGAAGAAGCAGCGCCGGGCCGAGAACCTGAGGCGTCGCCTGGAGAACGAGCGGAAGGCAGAGGTCGTCCAAGTGGTGAGCGTCCCATCCCCTTCCCCGTGCTGGGGACCAGAACCACCGCCAGGCCCGGAGGTGGTGAAGTGCCCACCTCTGTCACCCTTGTGCTGCATTCCCAGGCCGTGCAGGGTGGTCTCCCCTTCCTCTTCCCCTTCCCCACACTAACGCCGTCTCCTCATCCCCCCAGATCCGAAACCCCGCCAAGCTCAAGAGGGCAAAGAAGAAGCAGCTCCGGGCCATTGAGAAGCGAGACACCCTGGCCCTGCTGCAGAAGCAGCCGCCACAGAGGCCGCAGCCAAGATCTGACCTCAAGACGGCTTGAGACCTTCTGTGGCCAGCCAGCTTGTGAGGCCACTAGTCAGACGCCTCTGCTGGGCCCAGCATGCCACTCTGCCGCTCCAGAACAGACCCCACCCCAGGTGGGGCTCCTGAGCCTTTGGGGCCCAGTGGACTGGTTTTTGCAGGACCGAGGCCAGGGGAGGGGCACCTAGCGGACGGTGATGGGGGGAAGAAGTTCTGCTCCCCACTCTTCCTCTGGTCCTTCTCCAAGTGCCTTCACAGCAGAGACAGTAAATGCTTCTAGTGACTAAGGGTGACTCTCCCAAATGTGTATGTCCTGTCTCAGGGTCCCGGGTCCAACCACCTCCCCCCAGAGCCTCCCAAAGGCTGCTTTGGGTACCTCTACATCCCACTGACCCTGTCACCCAGCGAGCTGAATACCACCACTACCCTCACTGGCAACACTGAGTTTATAAAGTGGGCAGAATGCCAGGAGTGGGGGTGCTCTCCACCACACTCTTTCTTGTGTCAGCCCCAATGATCCGATTAACTCATGCCCATCCAGTCTACCACACACTTGTTTATTGAAAGCCTCCCGTGAGCAGGCATGGAACAGCAGAAGGACGAAAGGCCCTGCCCTCAAGGAGCTTTCATTCTGACGGTGGAAACAATCAACAAGTCAAGTGCACTGTAAGGCAGGAGGCACCAGTGTGCTGAAGGAAAAGCAGGGAGGGCCGTGGGGTGAGGTGTGAAGATGCCGTGTCTGTTCGGTCAGCTGTTCTGACTGTGGGCTTGGCTGAGTGCTTGCTGTGGGCTGGCCACATAAGCCAGCCAGCCCAGCCTTTGGGGACCCAGCCTGGGGGTGACAGAAGGGACACGGGACCCAGATCCCAAAAGAAACCAGCGATTCCCCGCCCAGCTCCGCCACTAATGTTCCGCACACAAGTTTACTGGTCAGTCTCCAACTCTGCCGACCTGGGGTGTAGAGCTGAAATCTAGCAGCCTCTGCCGCCAGGTCCACAGCGGGTCCGGCAGACATGGACAAAGGTGAAGCACCAGGTACCTCGTGTCTGCATCCAAGAGCATGTGTGGTCAGGAGTGGGGTACCACAAAGACCTTGGCATTCCCGGCGTTGCCCAGAGGGCACCCACGGAACACCAGGCCTTCACAGGGCTCGGGATACAAGGTCAGGTGAGCAGGGGAAAATGGGCTGTGGTCTCAGGTTCAAGTACTGAAGATGAGACCTTTAGTAGCAGTCCATCAGCCTTTGATTAGCCTGGGGTTTCCCAAACATTTGCCCATGGTACCCCACTGTTGTTTCATAAACCCTGGGCTCCGAGGCGGCTACCAGCACAGGGACCTTGGGCGGGTCGGAGGGTGTCTCTCCAAACACACGTTGAGCATCCCATGGTTAGAGGTGGGAGTGCAGACTGTCACCAGCCGAGAAACTGGGCTGAGTGTGGGATAAAGCCTCTGGCTGAAGTGATGTTTATCCTGGAACTGAATTTCTCAAACCTTTCCTCTTACTCCAGAAATACTTTTCTGGTTTAGTATAAAAATAACCTCTTCTCCCCAGGCATCTGGTAACAGTGAGCTACCACAAGATGCATACAGTGCCCTTGGGAAGCCCCTGTCCCACTTAGAAGTCTGTTAGGATTTTAATCCCATGTTACTCCAAGTACCCCGGACCTCTTCGCGAGCTCGTTAGAAACGCCGGATCTCAGCACCCCTGCGCCACCCCCCAGCCCCCAGCCCGCTGAAGCCGCACTTGCACTCTGACAAGCTCCCGAGGCGATCCGTACACACAGCAATGTCCTAAAAGCCTGCTCGAGTCCGCCGTGTTTGTCACTGCATCACCTGGGGTGCTTTATAATGCAGGTTCCTGGGGCCTGCCCCTCCATCCACTCGTCAGGGTCTCGGGCTGGAGCACCGTGCCTGTTGCCTGCTCCGCCCGCCGGGGAGACGCGGGCGCCCTCCTTCCTAGCCGGAAGCGATGCTGGGCGCCCGGTTCAGCGGGCCCCTCTCGTCCTGAGAGCGAGCCCGGGGCGGGGCCGCGCCTTGTTCGCCCCATAGGCAGCCGAGGAGGCGCGTGGAACCTGCCGGGGAAAGGCGCCCGGCCCCGGGCGTGTGGGCCACCGAGGAGCCGCGGCGGCGCCGGCTGCTGCCCAAGCCGCCCAGCTCGCTGTCGTCCACCAGCACGCTCTCGAGCACGCTGCGCAGCGAGCGCCGCAGCTTACGCAGCACGTCGGGGCAGGTGAGCACGTAGAGCAGCGGGTTGATGACGCTGTTGATGAAGGCCAGGCTGGTGACGAAGGGCAGCCCTCGCCACGCGAGCGGCCGCAGCGCCGCGTGGGAGTGCGAGCGCGCCTCCAGCAGGCTGAAGATGTGGTAGGGCCCCCAGCAGAGCGCGAAGGCCGCCACCACGGCGGCCACCAGGCGAACGAAGCGGCTGGGCCGCCGGCGGCCGCGGTGGTGCAGCTGTGCGCTCACGGCCGCGTGGCTCGAGGCAATGATGAGCAGAGGCAGCAGGAAGGCCAGGAGGAACTTGCTGACGGCCAGGGCCGTCTGGCGCGAGTTGCACGTGGCGTCGCGGTCAGGCCCCGGGCTCAGGAGCAGCATATTGTAGTAGCACATGATCCGCCCGTCCCGCCGCGGGATGGTGTCCCGGAACACAAAGTAAGGCACGGTGTTGATCACGGCCAGGACCCAGAGCCCCAGGCAGACCTTCTGGGCCGCAGACACCGTACGGTGGTTCTGCGCCCACACGGGCCGGACCACCTGCAGGCAGCGGTCCAGGCTGATGGCGCTGAGCAGGAAGCCGCTGGCGAACATGTTGAGGAAGAAGATGGAGGAATGCAGCTTGCAGAAGGTGGTGCCAAGCTCCCACGAGTGGCCCACAGCCAGGAAGTAGGTGAAGAAGGGCAGGGAGCTGGTGGCCAGCAAGTCGGACAGTGCCAGGTGCAGCACCCACGTGGTGACCACCGTCTGGCGCATGCGACAGCCCACCACGAAGAGGATGAGTCCGTTCTCCACCAGGCCCAGCAGGCTGGCCAGGCCGTGCAGCACCACCGACGCGTGGTCGATGTAGCGGATGCTCGTATTGCTGTGGCTTTGGAGCTGGCTCATCTGCTCCAGGAGGGGGCAGAGCGGCTTCGTGGCGTTGCTCACCATCGCGAGATTCTGCAGTGGGGAGGAGGAGGCACGAAGGTTGGCAGTGCAGGGGAGCACGGAAAAGAGGGCTGAGCTAGGAGTCAGGAGAAGCAAGTCCGATCTGCGGAAGTTATAGATGAGGCCTTGAGGGATCAGTGAAGCAAAGACGATGAGGTGGAGGCAGGAAAATGACATCCCAACACCACTGCCCGCCCACTGTGCAGCCTTGGGCAGGCATTTAGCTTTCCTGAACCTGTCTCAGTCCGTGTCTGAACCATGGATTCAATCATAGCAATACCTAGCTCAGTAGGGTTATTGGGAGAATTAAATGAGTTGATATATAAAAAGCATTTAGAACAGATTTCCCAATCTTCCTTCCGAGGAGTGGCTGGTGGGTTTGAACCACCAGACTTGACTTCTGGTTAGCAGTCACACACCTTAGGCACTATGCCACCAGAGCTCCCTACCTACTGAAAGAAAAAAAATATCAAACCCATTGTGATCCAGTCACTTCTGCCTCTTGGTGAGCCCGTGTGTTGCAGAGAGAACTGGGCTCCACAGGGTTATCTTGGAAGCAGGTCATTAGGCCCTTCTTCCTTGGTGCCCTTGGTGCATTCAAGCAACCAACCCATCAGTGAGTGGTGCTATATAGGTGCTGTTGAGTCATTTTCAAGTCATTACAACCCCGAATGACAGTAGAACTTCCCCAGAATGAACTGGACCAATAAGCAACATCATGATAAATGGAAAAAGGATTGAAGTTGTCAATCATTTTACTTGGATCCACAATCAACCCCACGGAAGCAGCAGTCAAGAAATCAAATGATGTATGGCATTGGGCAAATATGCTGCAAAAAAATCTCTTTAAAGTGTTAAAAAGCAAAGATGTCACTTTGAGGATGAAGGTGTACCTGACCCAAATCAAGGTATTTTCAGTCATCTCATATGCACGTGAAAGCTGAAAAATGAATAAGGAAGACCAAAGAAGAATTGATTGAGGGCTTTGAATTATGGTGTTGGCGAATGTGGTAGTTACGTTTGTGTGTCAACTTGGTTGGGCCTGCTTGAGTGGCTGGGCAGCTGAGTGTAGTGTTCCCCATGATGAGACTGGTCATCAACTCCATGGTGGAATCTACTGTGAGCAGCTGAGTAGCTGCCTTTGGGTATGGGGTCTGCTTCCCGTATATAAGCAGCAGCTCTGGGAATGGTGTCTAGCTTATGGCACACTTGAACCCTGCATGTAACCATGTTGTTCAGCAGCCTGCCATGCTCTTCCGACCTTGGGACTTAAAATGGACTTGAGTTAATGGCCTGCCGTGTGGTTTGGTAACATTGGGACTGTGCCTTCTTACTTGTCAACCTTGGGCTTATCAGCCTCAGCAGCCGGCAGCTGTTTGACTGAAGAAATGCCTCTAGCTCCAGTGGGCTGGGAGCAGGAGGCAGAGCTGGACCCCAAGGTTGAGGGGGTGAAAGCCCCTAGAGCCTGGCACTTTGAACTTGGACTTAAAACCTCAAACTGTAAGAGAATAAACCCATTTGTAAAGGTCATCCAATTTGTGGCATATTCCTGTCAGAGCGGCACTAGGTAACCAGAACAGTGAAGAATATTGGATAGACACCATGGACTGCCAGAAGAACAAATAAATCTATCTTGGAAGAAGTACAGCCAGAATGCTTCTTAGAAGCAAGGATGGCAAGATTTCATCTCCCGTACTTTGGACGTGACCAGTCTCCGGAGAAGGACCTCATGCTTGGTAAGGGAGAAGGTCATCCCATGAGGTGGACTGACAGTGGCTGCAACCATGGGCTCAAACGCAGCAACAATTACAAGGAGGGTGCAGGACTGGGCAATGTTTTGTTCTGTTGGACATAGGGTCACTATGAGTCAGAACAGACTCACAGCACCTAACAACAATAATAATCTTCACAGGAGCACATTGCCAGGTCTTTCTCCTGTGAAGCCACTGGGTGAGTTCAAACTGCCAACGTTTCACTTAGCAGCCTATTGTACCACCAGGCCTTAGTAGTTAAGTACAAATTGTAGAGTGATTGTCACTAAGCAGATGGCTCAAGAGCACAAGGAAAAATAAGGAAGAGATCGGCCACAGAGCTCTTCCTGGTGCCCAGAGCACTGGGAGATGAGCAAGACTCATGATGAGGGCCTGGGGGTAGGGAAGAGGAGTCTATGCCTTTACAGGTGCTTCGACTTCCCCCAGCACCCCCAAGCCCTGCCTCTCTGCAGCCATGTGGCCCCTGGCTTCCACAGTGGTAGCTAGTTGGGCATGTTGACTGTGTACAGTGGTGCTGGCCCCTCCTGTGATAGTTGGAGAGGAAATAAGATAAGAGCAGGGGGAGGGCTGGGCAAGAGGAACTGCCAGATGGGGACTCTGCTCAAAGCCTGCCAAATGCCTCTCCCCTGCCCAGAAGAGGATAGCCGCCCTGCCTGTGCCAGCTGCCAAGGGGCCAGGAAATCCACCCCTGTTCATTCGTTTATTCAGTCATTGATTCAAAACAGATTGTTGAGCAACTACTCTGGGGTGGGTGCTGCAGAAACCAGCTTCTGGCAGGCGTGCAGACAACACAGACATGCACGCCCACAGCCTCACCAGGAACCTGGGAGACCCCTGGACCTGAAGCCGGTTGAGTGAGGGTTCTGTGCAGGAAGGAGGTAGGGGACGGATAGCAGGGGTAGGAACTCAGATTGTCCTGGGTACCGAGGACACACCAGGGACTGGTGGGTCCTTTACACAGGCACTCGCTCACTCGCTCGCTCTCCCTCTGTTCCAAGAAGAAGGTGCAAGTACTTCTCTCTACTCCCATTTTACAGGTGAAAAAACTGAGACTAAAGAGTTTAACTTGCTCAAAACCACCCAAATAAAACAGACATGGAGAGGAGCAAGCTTTGCATTCAGCCTGCACGCTTCCTCTTCATCGGCTCCAAACAAAAGAGCATGGAGGATGAGGGGACTAATTATCTAATTAGACTTTTCCTGGCAGGTGAACCCATCAGAACCAGTGATCTGCAGGTAGATTGGAGGGGAGCACCTGGGCTGTGCGCCCCAAGGATAGTCACACTTCCTAAGCTTTAGAGTGTGCAGAGCAGTTTCTTTCACCATAACTTTATGAAAGCTCATTTTTCAGAGGGGGAAACTGCAGTTTGGAGAGGCAGAACCAATTACTTGTCCAGTCTTCCGCAGCTGCAGGGCTGGAACTAGGACTCCACTCCCAACAGATGCACATCAACCTCTCTGCGTTGATGTATTCCCAGGTCCTATGGGGAGCTCTGGTAGCATAGTGGCTAAAGCACTTGACTGCTAACCAGAAGGCTGGTGGTTCAAACCTACCAGCCACTCCTCAGAAGGAAGGTTGGGCAATCCTACTTCCGTAGTGATACTGCCTTGGAAACCCAAGGAGGGGTCGCTATGAGTCGGGGCCGACTCGACGGCACACAACAAAAACAACAACAACAATGGGGACACTCAATAAGCACAGTGCCTTGGGGGAACCGTCTACCTCAGTGCTCTGGCTGCATGGAGATGGTCCCCAAGCCCCCAGGACTCTCAGCAAGCCAGCAGCTAGGGCTCTGCTTCGACAAGGGGCTAGGGTCAGAGACCTGGGTTTGAATCCCAGCCCTTCTGCTTCCTGGCACTTGAACTTGGGTCAGTTACCCTAAGACTGTGGTGTAATCCTCCCACTCAGATTGCTTGTAAAGATTGAAAGAGGAGACCCAATGGTCTACTGGTGTGCCTAGGATCTAGCTAATGCCTACGACAATGTTGTCATCGTCCCTCCTCCAGGCAACCAGTCCCCTCTGAGTCTTTGGTGAATTCAACCCTCTGCAACCCCTCTCTCCTAGCAAAACTGTCTTCTCCCCAGGGGTCCGGAGAGGAACCAAGGCCACCCACCCCTGGGCCACAGCCTCCCTTACCTGAGCACCAAGTGAGTGCAGGGTCCCAGCTCGCTGCTAGTCAGCACCCAGAGCCACTGGACCACAGGCATCAAGCAGGCAGAGTGCAGGGAGTGAGGCAGAGGGAGGAAATAGCTGTCAGTTGAGTGTGTGTGTGAGTGTGTTTGGAGGTGGGGGGAGAGGCGGGGACAACCGGAGAGTGAGCTGTCACCATAGTGTTCAAATAAGGTTAATCTCCATCAATGAGGAAGGGAGCCGACTGTAGGCAGCCCTGCCCACCACTTTCTACCTTGTTGAAGGGACTTTGCAAAAGCCCAGAAGTACAAAATCATT